TTTTGCAAATAAGACCCCTTTATGGCTTTATAGGTTAAGTTATATATAAGCTGAAAATGCAACTGAATTAAGTTTTAAAATGAGTACAGAAGAAACATTATCAATACAACTATGGAAATAGAAGGGGTTATTGGGATAAAGAGAAAAAATTGGGCACTGGACTCCTTACAGATTCTGGTTCTTAAAATTCTAGGTTAGAGTTAAAACTAAACAGCAACTATTTCATGTGTTTCAAATCTTTTAAGATTTCCAACATGGCTCCTATCAGGGTCAAATTGATAATTCTAAAGTCTGTATCAGAAGAAGAGAAAAGAAAGAAGCTTCATAGAACAGACTAGAACAGCTTGTTCTGAAAAGTCTAGAACTCCAAATTTGCCATCACTAGACTCAATAGAAACCTAGATTTCAATAAAAAATTCTTAACATTTATTCTTTGGATCTGCTGCCATGTTTCCTGGGGGCTACCACTAATTATAAGCCATAATTCTCCAATTATATGAAAAAGAAAAAATAAAAGGCTAGCCATTATGCAAAAGTTAGCCTATTTAAGACATTATAGAATTCCAGCACCAATTTTTGTTTTCTGTTTATTTCCAATTGGATTTTAATATCAAAACCACATGAGATATTTATATCATTTAAGTAACGAGTTGGTATGATAAATAAAGAAGGGAGAAGTTATAAATGCTTGTCTTGTATTTAAGCTTAAAATGTCATCTGAACACTAAGGTGTATATGCAACTAATGTTTTTGTTTTTAGTCATTAAATCCTTATTTACATTGAGTTTTCATCATCACACATTTGAGGATATAATCTATGTTTGTGGGTTGACTTGGGTTTAAGTCTTAACCCCCATGTGCAGGGGGTTTTTCCATTACTCTCACATGACTACCACATTCATGACACTTCTGACACCAACTGTGGGGGGAGGGGGGTTTCCACACAAAGCAATTCTGTGATGTGAGCCAGGTGTCCTATAATTTAGCTCAATTCTGATGCTATTTACTTGGAGATAGTGTCAGATCCTATGGGTCAAGGGCTCAGTCCCACAAGACTGCCCCACCATGCCAATCACAAGTCCAGGTTGTCACCTGTGCTGACCCATCAGCTATAAATCAGAGGTCTATGGCCCCTTCTACAGTTTGATTAATTTGGTAGCGCAGATCATAAAACCCAGGAAAAGTTTATTGCTGCTTACCAGTTTATTATAAAAAAAATAACAAAGGGTACAGATGAACATCCCACTAGAAGAGAGGTGTAGGACCAAGTATGTGAGAGAAGAGGTATGGGGCTTCCATGTCCTTTCCGGGGGCACCACTCTCCCAGCACCCCCATATGTTCACCAACCTGGAAGGTCTCCAAAGCCCATGCGATTGGGATTTTTAAGGAGGCCTCATTGTGTACGCATGATGGATCATTAACTCCATTTTCAGCCCCCTCTCCCCTCTCTGGAGAATGGGGCATGGGCTGAAAATTCCAAGCTTCTAACCATGGCTTAGTCTTTCTGGTGACTATCCCCCAACCAGGAGCCCACCAAGAGTCCCCTCATTAAAAGAAAAGACACCACTGTGAGCTAGGAGACTCTAAAGGATGTAGGAGCTCTGTGCCAGGAACTGGGAGCAGAAATCAATATACATCTTTTCTATTCTCTCACACCCTGGTACCTGCAAATGTGAACTTATTTAGGAATAAAACCTTTGCAGATATAACCAAGATGAGGTCAAAAGCCAGTCAATGATAATTGCTATTAGATGAATGTTTTAACTTTATTAAAGATTAAATTACCTCTGTGAAGACCATTCAACTTCCACAGACTGCAAAACTGGAGTAAGTACATAGCTTACTATTATCTGTGTACACCATACAAGCAATGCTGGATATTTACATGAAATCAGTGGCTACCTCTCAGACGATTTGGGGACTTGGGGGTGGGGGGGTGTCTAAATTTTAAAATTACCAAACTAGATTATCATGGGCTACAAGAGTATCAATGTAATACCTTCATAGACAGGAAATCTGCCAGCTGCTAAGTCTGTCTCTATTACACATTCTGAGGAAATAACCACAGGATGGGCCTGTGGTTCAACTGGTGGAAATAAATCCTTTGCAAGGTAGACTCAGGCCCAAACTCCATCTGTCTCGTGACCATTACAGAAGTCCCTACTCTGACATGGCGGTGTTTGGGAATCAAAGAATTAGCATTATATTGGAGCCAACATCTAATGACCCTTGGAGGTCCGAGTATTTCCCTTTCTCCAGGGCATAGTTACACTGGTAAATAACCACAGCTCCCTTTGGGAAGGCCTGGAGGAAGACTCACACTGTCTCCTATGGGTACATTGCAGGCCCTTATTCAAAGGTCCTCCCTGAAGCTACTTTGGGCCTAGGAGTGGACTTAGGTTTGGGAACTGAAGAAGGTACAGTGAATCTCCACTATAATCACTCATCAGGCTTCTGTCCAGGAGACCCAGACATTTTCCACTTATATGTCAAGCTATACCTTAGAAGGCTGCCCATATTCGGGTCTCCATGACCAATTAGCCATCACCAGCAGGCCAAAATCCTCTGATTACCACTCTGCCCTAAGGCATGTTATGATCACTGTCCACTTGGAGACAGTGGACAGTCTCCAAGGGTTGGGTGCTGACGCTTGGCCTCTACCACTCCAGGATCTTATTATTTCCATTCTGACAGTCTGTTTCCTGGGGCCACTTCTGGCACCAAATATGCAGTCAGTCCTGTTAGGAAGGAAGCAGTACATTCAAAAGGCATGAAAGAAAATGGGATGAATAGATTCTTTACAAGTGTGGGCAGGGCTGGGGGAAACTGACAAGGATGGTGGGGGGCATACAGGGCTAGCAACAGGGGGAAGTGTCCACTGTCCCTACCTTGAAGAGGACAGGGGAGTGTGATGCCTTTGTAATGTGTCACATTGGCTTGGCTGAGCTATATTCCCCAGAATTCCCCTCCCTGTACATTTCCAGTGAGGTCTTGGGTGAAATTTGGGAGGGTGGAGATGGAGAAGTAGTTATCAGAGTCCATTTGAGCCGCTGTGACAAAATGTCACAGACTGGGTAGCTTACAAGCCACAGAAATTTATTTCTCCAAGTTCTGGAGGCTGAGAAGTCTAAGATGGAGCTTCTTCTGGTGAGGGCTCTCTTCCTGGTTCACAGCTGGGGCCCTCCCACTGTGTCCTCACATGCTGGAAGGGGAGAAGGGTCTCTGTGGGGGTCTCTTTCTTTTTCTAAAAATTTTTAAATTTTTTAAAAAAGATTTTATTTATTTGAGAGGTGAGAGAGAGAGAATGAGCATGAGTGGGGGGGAGGGGCAGAGGGAGAGGGAAAGGCAGAGGGAGAGGGAGAAGCAGACTCCTCACTGAGCAGGGCAACAGACACGGGGCTTGATCCCAGGGGCTTTCTTCCATAGGAACACGGATCCCACATTATCTCCCAAAGGCCCTACTTCCTAATACCATCACCTTTGTGGGCAAGGATTCAGCATATAAATTTGGGGAGGATGCATTCACACCATAGCAACTGTCATTTTGTTTCTGTGCTCAGAAAGGCTTCTGTAGCTCACATATGTTGTTGCTTATCTGCTGGCTCTCCTTGCTGGCATGGGTCAGTAGACAGGCTGCTCTACCTTCCCCAGTACACTCCTCCCTCGAGCTACCAGGCCATTTCTCTTACCTTTAGTGCAACTTCTTGAAAGAGTTGTTTGTATTCATTGCTCCCCGTGTGTCTCCTCCCATCGTTCTTGAAACCACTCCATTTGTGCTGTGGTTACATGTAGCAGCCAGCCTCTAAGATGGCCCCAGCAGTCCCCACCTCCTGCTTTCCTGCCCTTGTGGGGTCCCCTCCCACCTGATATCAAGGTGGGTCTGTGTGACCAATACAACACGGGGATTGTGATAGTTATCACTTCCACAGCCAGGCTAAAGGGAAACTGGCTTCTGCCTTGCTCTCTCTTGGGTCCCTCACCCTGGGGATTGCCAGTCGTCATGTGGTGAGGTCATTAAAGAAGCTCTATGAAGAGGTCAAGTGACGAAGAATGGAGGCCTCCTGCTAACAGCCATGTTGGAAGTGGACCCTTCAGCCCGTCAAGTCTGGAAATGACTGCGACTCTGATCAACATCTTGATGGCTAACTCATGAAAGACCCTGAGCCAGAACCACCTCCATTGCTTCCAGATTCCTAAACTACAGAAACTCAGTGAGATAATCAATGTTGGTTGCTGTCTTTAAGTTGCTAAGTTTGGGGGCAATTCATTACACAGCAATACATAACTAATATATTACCCTGCATTATGGGTTGAAGCACTAACCCCCAGGACCTCAGGATGTGACCTTATTTGCAGCTTAATTAGTTAAGATGAGGTCATAATGGAGTAGAGTGGGCCCTGGTCCAATGCCGACTAGTATCTTTACATAAAGGGGAAATTTGGACACAGACATGCAGGAAGGGAGAATGCCACGTGAAGACTGGGTGATGTTCTCATGAGCCACGGAACTACCAGAATGCAGGAGAGAGGCCTGGGACACATTCTTGCCAAGAACCTTCAGAAGGGAGCATGGCCCTGCCGATCCCTCATCCTCAGACTTCTAGACTTCAGAACTGTGATACCATAGATTTCTGTTTTTCCAAACCCCCCAGTTTATGGTACTTGTTATGGCCCCCATAGAAAACAAATATACCCTCTATGCAATGTCCTTTTTTTGCCTTTGGCTACTTTTAAGATTTTTCTCTTTATTAAATTTGGCTTTGATTTTTACATGTCTTGAAATTTGACTTTGATGTGCCTTGTGGTTTTGTTTTTACCCTGCTTGGGGTTCAATGGATTTCTTGGATTTGTAGATTTACCATTTCTATCAGATTTGAAAAACATTCCTCCCAACACATAGTTTTTCCATCTGTATAATGTTAAATATAAACAATAAAGAAAAACAATACAGTAATGGGCAGAGTCTTGTGTTGCCACAGAACCCAAAGCAAGGGCACGTTTTCGGGCGGGAAGATGGCGGCCGGGTTCAAAACTGTGGAACCTCTGGAGTATTACAGGAGATTTTTGAAAGAGAACTGCCATCCTGATGGAAGAGAACTTGGTGAATTCAGAACCACAACTGTCAACATAGGTTCAATTAGTACTGCAGATGGTTCTGCTTTACTGAAGCTGGGAAATACTACAGTAATTTGTGGAATTAAGGCAGAATTTGCAGCACCACCCACAGATGCCCCTGATAAAGGATATGTTGTTCCTAATGTGGATCTACCACCTCTGTGTTCATCGAGATTTCGGTCTGGACCTCCTGGAGAAGAGGCCCAAGTGGCTAGCCAGTTCATTGCAGATGTCATTGAAAATTCACAGATAATTCAGAAAGAGGACTTACGCATTTCTACAGGAAAGCTTTCTTGGGTTCTATACTGTGATATCATTTGCCTCGACTATGATGGGAACATCTTGGATGCTTGTACATTTGCCTTGTTAGCAGCTTTAAAAAATGTACAGCTGCCAGAAGTTACTATAAATGAAGAAACTGGTTTAGCAAAAGTTAATTTAAAGAAGAAAAGTTATTTGAATATTAGAACTCATCCAGTTGCAACTTCCTTTGCTGTATTTGATGACACTCTGCTCATAGTTGACCCTACTGGAGAGGAGGAACATCTGGCAACTGGAACCTTAACAGTAGTAATGGATGAGGAAGGCAAGCTATGTTGTCTTCACAAACCAGGTGGAAGTGGGCTGACTGGAGCTAAACTTCAGGACTGTATGAGTCGAGGAGTTACCAGACACAAAGAAGTAAAAAAACTGATGGATGAAGAAATTAAGAGCATGAAACCCAAATAAACAACCACCACATTTTCAAAACAGATTTGTAAAAACTGTATTTGTTACACTGTGCACAAACCTTTTATACTAAATAAATATCAAACTACATTCTTCAGGAAAAAAAAAAAAAAAGAACCCAAAGCAAGTAGGCAAGCAGAAGGTATAACTGGACAGACAGCAAACATGCAGACCTTTAGCACATGAAAATTTCTGAAACATACAAAGCAAGAAAGTACTAGAACTGAGGGGAAAATATAGACAACTTTGATACAACTTAAGAAAAAAATTCCATCAATAAAGAATATAGTTTTTTAAGTAGGCCCCATGCCCAGCATGGAGCCCAGCATGGGGCTCAAACTCATGACCCTAATATTAAGACCCAAGCTGAGATCAAGAGTCAGATGTTTAACCAACTGAGCCACCCAGGCACCCCAAGAATATAGTTTTAAAGTCAAAGATAATAAAATCCATTCTCAAAAGCAACCAAGGCTTTGAAGTAACTATGAGTAAGTTTCAAGAAAAAAAACAACACACACAAATATAGACACACGTACATTTACATATATGTACACATTCATAATACATGCCTACACACCTGCGGACGTATATGTATGCCAATTTTACCACTTGGATAAACCTGCTTCATCTTCCCTGGGGCAGAATGCACAACAATGTGGCAGAGGCTAGGAACGGGCTTAGGGAAAAATCCCACTCATGGAAATGAGGATTTGAAGGAAAAACATCTCCTACTAACTTAATGGCAATCCTGCCTAACTGCATGTATATATCCAATGTAATTCTAATTGGCATTACAGAGGCCTTTTTTTCCCCTCAGAATTTGGTAACGAATTCTTAGCGAATTCTAAAGAACACTTCAATGAACACATTTATTAGAAAAAAGAAAGAAACCCTGTCTGTTGACATATTCAAACCACTGATAGAATAGGGGTGAGTGGATACCAAGCAACACCAACACCAGGGAGACCAACCCTTTCTGGATTCAAACACCATCAGCATTCTCTTTACTACTCAAATCTGCTTATCTCTGCATTTTTCTTTTCCTACTGCAATTGCTCTTTTCTTGACTTGGCTGCAGGGAGCTTCAGATCACATATTAGCTGTCCTGTGTCTATTTCTCATCACAAAAGTCCCATGAGGGCTTTGGTAAGCTCAGCTTTATCAAATGCTTACCTGTGGCATTCCCACTGTGGGCCTGGAGGGTGGAGTACCAGTAAGTCCTCTTAATTGGTGCCTCTGCAGATAAAGGGTAAGAATCTGTTACTAAAAGGCTAAGGAGTCCGGGAAGACAAAACCAACCTGTCTAATCTGAGCATTGAAAACACCACAAATTGAGAGATTCTAAATTAATTATCATAGGAACAATTGATACCGATTTGTAATGAAGTAAGGTTAGATCCTCACACCTCATCACATACACTGTCAAGTAAAAGTGTGGAGAAGACTTGACTAATTTCACTTAAATAATGTTTCATTATTTTAAAAGGGAGGCACACTTGGCATAAAGTCTGATTGTGGAATGTTTTAATAACTCACACCGAGTATTTCACCACATGGATTAAACACACTCTATTTCTCTCCTGTGTGAGTTCTCTGATGTTGTAATAAGGGCTGATATATGGCAGAAAAATGTCTCACATTAATTGCATTTATAAGATTTCGCTCCTCTGTGCATTTTTATAAGGCTTTAACATTCTGTAGATTATCTGATGTGTTACTTTGTTGGTCATTGCTTCTCTGGAGTTTACCCCTTAGGAGCTTTCTGATGTAAAAGGAAGTTTGACTTGTGGCACAATGTTCTCTTGCATTTATTATATTTGTAGGGTTTCTCCCATGTGTATTTTCTGATGTTCAGTAAGAGTCCTCAGCCGATGGTAGGTTTTTCCACATTCACTCCATTCATAGGGTTTCTCTCCTGTGTGAATTCTCCAATGTACTCTGAAGGCTGACTTACGGCAGGAGGATTTCCCACATTTGTTACAACCATGTAGCTTCTCCCCAATGTGAGTTCACTGATATTCAGTGAAGGAGAACTTCTGGGAGAAGGTTTTCCCACATTCGTTACACTCCCTGGGTCTCTCTCCTGTGTGTGTCCTCTGATGGTGAGTGAGGGCTGACTTCTGGCAGCAGGTTCTCACACATTCAACACAAGCATACGGTCTCTTCCACATAACATTCTGATGTTCAACAAGGGGTGAGTTTTTGCTGATGGCATCCCCATGTTCATTACACTCAAAGAGATTCTCCTTTGTGTGTGTTCTCTTATGTTTGTTGCAGTCTGACTTCACCATGAATGCTCTACCACATTTATTAAACACACCATGTTTCTCTCCTTTGTGAGTTCTCTGATGTATAATGAGGGTGGACTCATGACAGAGAAATGTCCCACATTCATTACATATGGAGGATTTCTCTCCTCTGTGAGTTATCTGATGTGCAATGAAGGCCAATTTAGCACACAGAAATTTTCTACATTGACTGCATTCATAGGGTTTCTCCCCTGTATGAGTTCTCCAATGTACAACTAGGATGGGCTTCTTAGAAAAGGTTTTGCTACATTCACTGCATTCATTTGATTTCCTTTCTGCACACACCCTCTTCTGTGTAATGAGCTGCCCTTCTGAAGGTTTTCCTCCATTTATGACAGTCAAGAGGTTGTTATTTCAAAGTCTGAATGTTCTGATGCAGAATAAAGTCTTCATTTTGACTTCTGCCTTTCCTAACTGGATCATATTTGTGTTTTGTTTTGTTTTTTTACTCCGGAATGACTTTTCTCACCCTTAGAGTGGTGGTTTCCTATATCCACTGTATTCATCAGGAATCTTTTTAAAATAGCGTTTCAGGGGTGCCTGGGTGGCTCAGTTGCATAGGCGTCTGCCTTCCACTTGGGTCATGATCTTGGGGTCCTGGGATAGAGCTCCACGTTGGGCTCTTTGCTTAGTGGGGAGTCTGCCTCTCCCTCTGCCCCTCCCCACCACTTGTGTTCTCTGTCCCTCTCTGTCTCAAATAAATAAATAAAATCTTAAAAACAATTAAAAAAAATTTCTTTAAATAGCTTTTCATCGCAACAATTACTTCTGAATTAGTTTTCAAATTGGCTCCACAGGGATCATATTTGTAGGGTATTTTTCTTGAGGGAAAAATATTCATGCCCAGATTAAATGTTTTCCCAAATACATTATTTCTTTCTGTAATCAGTGTTTTATTATTGAGGCATAAAATTTGCTTCAAATGCTGCTTTGGATTTCCTTGTCTTTCTCTAAGACATCACCAACTTCTGGGAAAGAACACAATTAACAGTAACTTGTGAGCCCTTACACATTTGCTATGAAATGAGAGTTACAACTGCCTTGCAGTGGGGGATTTGACTTCAGGCCCAGCCTCCCAGAATTAAGGACATTTCAAGGGCAAAATCTCCTCTATGGTTGATGTAGGAGAAAACAAAACCAAAAACCAAAACAAAACCAAACTCCCACTCAACCCCCCAGCCTGTTTCATAGGGTGAAGGGAAGAGGAAACTACCTTTGGCACAGAACAAGTAAGAGTCACAGGGAACAGTGAGCACAAAGCGAACTGCGAGTAAGGCTGACAGAGGCCTGAGTAAGACAGGCAGGAGTCGAGGAAGCACTTGGAGAAGACAGGGAGACAGTGGGACCTAGACACACAGACCTCACTGACCTTTGTCAGTAGGACAAAGAAACAAAAAGCCGGTGTGAATCTGAAATTTTGGCAGTGACATGGGAACTCTGGAATTTGCACAAATAAAAAGCAGAATGTGGGCTGAGCAGGGCGGGGACTATGGTGAGGCAAGCATGATGTCTAGAGCACCTGCATGACCCTGAGAGTGAGTATTTTCTTATATTTGTGCCCGAGATGCCTTGTTTGCCTCACCATAGTCCCACCCTCGTGGGGCTGAGAATGGAGGGTGAAACTGCAATTTCTCAGTTAAAGGATAGAGAGAAAAATGGAAAGTAACTAGTCACATCATGTAAATCAAGCAAGATTTCTTTTTCTTTTTTAGAGGCCGGGAGGGGCAAAAGGACAGAGAGAATCTTAAGCAGACTCTGTGCAAAGCGTGGAGCCCAACATGGAGCTTGATCTCACAACCCTGAGATTGTGACCTGAGCTGAAATCAAGAGTTGGGTGCTTCACTGACTGAGCCACCCAGGCGCCCCAAGATTTATTTCTCTCAAGATGGATCTATGAATGTCTGAATATACAACAAGTCTATGACAATGGTTGGTGGCGGGGTGGTCAGGTAGGCAACAGAGAATGCCACAGAAATAATGTGCAAGGTATGGTGAAGGAGGGACTGGGTTCTGGGGATACGTAACTTAGTGGCAAAAATCTTTATAAATTTTTCAATTAAAGAGAAGAGTATATTTATTTGGGGATGATGTTTTATGTATCTGCAGCATCACAATGATCTAATCCTCCATTACCTCCGAGGTCTGGGGCCTATAAAAAGAGATTCCTGAGAAACATTACAAAGATGCCAACTATGATCAGTAACGGCTTTGGAACTCTTCTTTCCACTGGTTTCCACCTACTCAGCGATCAGTTACTCACCTGGGTAGTTCTGACCTGAGAATTCCTCCACTATCCATGGCTCTTCTCCTTGCCAAACCACATCTGGTTTGCTAACATGATACCCTGTTAACGGGAAATAACACAGAATTTGGACCAAGCTCTTTGGACTTCAGGGACTCTGAAGGATGAAGAGAGCACAGCTTTAGAAGCTATGTAATGAGGATGCCCAGCAGTTCATCAATAAAGCTAGAACATTTGGAGGAAGGCTGGGAGGGGCAGTGGATACACACACACAGTTCTACTGCCTAAATCATCTTTCTTCCTGATGCTCAAGGCTAAATAATTAAATTCAACATGTTTCTGTGACACAGAGCAAATGCATGCTCTTGGGAGCTAACCAGGGAAGCTGCACTCACCCACGGAGACCAGCTGTCTGTAGTCTTCCAGAATCACAGCCCTGTCCAGGAGCCTCCGAGCAGGACACAGTTGCTGCCACTCCTCCTGGGTGAAGTCCATAGTCAGGTCCTTGGATGAAACTGATCTCTGAAAGAATATGTTCAATCCAAGGTGAATAGAATCCCATT